GAGAAAGAATGTTGCCGCACTATTCACCTCCAATCTGGTCTTCCCTATGAGTACCACACATATAGCTATCCATATGCTTGCCTTTCAATGTCATTCGACAAGCCTTCAATAGCTGACCCCGACAAAACCCAATGGGAGTCGCTTACTAGGAATAAGTTTGATGGCATGAGGTTATGCTTTGGTCAGTTAGTGTATTACCGTAGGAAGTCACCCACCAAAAGGACTTTGGAGCCCAACATGTCACCTGGTCTGTTTTTGGGTTGGAGGATTGATCCTGGTTTCCGATATAGAAATGTTCTTAGGGTGCTAGATTATCAAGAGTATCGCACTAGAGGTGGGAATTCAGCCGTTGATGTTCCAGAAGCAGAAATCTTTGTCCCTGAAGGTGATCCTGTTTTTCCAGTAGGTTTTTCACGCCACCAAGCTCTCATCAGGGGGGATAACCCAGATGATCTTAAGTTGCCTGAATATGCCTTAAAGGATGTGCCCTTCCCCAAGGAGGGCGGAATAGCCTCACCCTCTACACCAGGTCTCAAAAGTCGTTCTGTTTATATAACCGTAGACCGTATCCTTAAGTGGAAAGAGGCACCTGGTTGCAAAGGCTGCACTGGCCATTCGCGTGTGCACACTGATGAGTGCAGAGCCCGCTTCTCAATGTTAGTTGAAAAAGAAAAAGAAGCTGAAAAGGAAAAGAAAGCTCCAAATCCCGAAAGTGAGACAGAAGCGGAAGACAAGGATGATGAAGCACATGGCATCATCTTCCAGGGTGAGGACCTGCCTGACCCCGACCCCATACCATCACACCTCTCCGCTGAGGATAGGAAGCTCTTTGAGGAAACTCTCATAAGAGGTGAGGTACCAGGGTCAGCCGAACCCAGCGCTCCGTCTGAGCCTGCTGTTTCCGTTTCTGGTGTAGCTATTCTTCCCCAAGTTGCCAATCGATGTTCCGACCTATGTCAAAAATCGCTGCCTGTTTTTGGTTGCCCCGCTGTAGGTAAGCCAACTAACCGCGATAATCGTAGGAGCCGGAAAGCTGCCAAGAAAGCTTCCAGACCCAATGCCAAGTCAACCATGTTTGAATTTGCTTGTTCTGAGGACTCCCAGATGGGTTTTACTCACCAAGAATATGGCATTAATCATGTTAGACTTTGTAAGGATAGGATAGACCTGGGAGATGAGTCACAATGTGAGCAACTAGACTATCAGATAGATGAAGCCGCTAAGGTTGCACCTCCACATATGTGGGCCTCTATCCCTTGCACATCCGGATCCCCTTGGCAGTACATCAATAGGAAGAAGGGTGGTGCCGCATTCATGAGGAAGCTTGCCCACCAGGTCAAAGAGTCCAAACGGTTGTTTAAGAGTTTTTCCAAACGCGCTGAAAGGGTTCTCAATCATGGTGGTACTGTAACGTTTGAATGGCCAAGACCTTGCTCTGGCTGGAAAAGGCCTGACGTTGTAGCATTCTTTGAGAAGCATCCCCAGTTTATGACCGTTGGTTTTGAAGGGTGTACCGTAGGTTTAACCGATAGAAATGGTTATCCCATCAAAAAGCCATGGAAACTCAAGACCACTTCTCCCCGAATTGTAGAGGCGTTTCAAGATATGCGGTGTCGGTGCCAGCAATCCCATTCCAGATGTGAGGGAGCTGAGACCACTCGCTCCGCAATGTATCCGCCCCAAATGACTAATTTAATTGTGCAAGCTTTGTATCCCTCAAAATGTGCCCAGCAGCCTGTTCCTGCTATGCCTTGCCGACCGGCAACCAGCGAGCCTCAACCCCATAGGGAAATTGAGCAGCACCTTAAGCACGTATCCCCATTAGCTGGTTTTGAAGATTTAGCCCTAGCTGTCGAATCAGACCCCACTGCTAATAGGTTGGTTATAGAACTTCTTGACCATGAACAATTGATCGCCCAAGCCTTCCACCTGGAAGACCCTAAGGCGCCAACGCCTGAGATCAAAGCAATGGTCACCAAGCTCTTATCCCGTGCAGAGATGCTGTCCAATCCCAAGGCCCTCGAGGCGATTCGCGCAGAAGCCGATGGTTTGGTTAAGGCTGGTACTTGGGATCTCAGCTCGGTCCGCGAGAAGGAAGATGTGCGCAGAGAAGCTAAGGCTTCAGGTGTATCAGTACACTTTGGTCAGCTCATGACCATCGCGTCCATTAAATTCCATGAGCTCGCGGAACACCTTCACAAAATGAAGGGGCGCATCGTGTACAGAGGAGACTGCGCAAAGGACGAGCATGGTGCAGCCGCGGTTTACCAAGAACTCGGCGCAAACCCCACCTCCGTCCAAGGGCTAAACGCATGCTTGGCGTACGGGTCGCTGCCGGGTAACCGCGCGACGGCTGCAGATGCAGTCAAAGCTTACGTCCAAGCGCTGTTATCTTCCAAATACAAAACCTGGATTGAGCTTCCCCCGGAGCTCCGCCCTAAGTATTGGAAGCAACAGTTTGTTAAGCCCGTAGTCCTCTTAATTAAAGCCTTATACGGTCACCCTGATGCCGGAGGCCTGTGGGAACAACACTTGAAAGTCATCATCAAGAACCTTGGTGGACAGGAAGTTCCAGAATACCCAGGAAACTTTTTCTTCCCAGATACAAAGTTACTTCTGTCAACTTATGTAGACGATTTAACTCTAGCTGGCCCCGCCGACCAGCATGATGCATTCTGGAGTAAGTTAACTTCTGTGGTAGACATTGACCCCCCAGAGCCCATCTATAGGATTCTTGGACGCAACCATGTTGTTACCCCACTATCCAAGACCGAAGGTCATGAAAAATGTGCAGCCTTCCAAGCCCAAGATGGCATGGTTTTTGATATGGCAGACTACGCTCAGCAGACCGTAGATTTGTATAAATCAATAACTGGTGTCACCAAACTCAAGCATGCTGCCACGCCATTTCCACCTGAGGGATCCATCACCATTGAAGATGATGAAACTAAAGGGGAACTAGCTCCAAACGCATGTAAGATTTTGATGAAAGCCCTTTGGTTAGGTAGACTTGCACGTCCCGACATCATCAAGCCTATCAATGATCTGGCCACAAAGGTCCAGTCGTGGTCCAGGGGGGATGATAAGAAGGTCCTAAGATTAATCCAGTACATAGCCTCAACACCACACTACAGGTTAGTAGGTACCATTCAGGACAAGCCTGAAGACCTAGAGCTCAGACTGTTTGTCGATGCCGACTTCGCCGGCGACAGATCAACTGCACGCTCAACCTCCGGTGGCTTTTGGTTTTAACTGGCCCTAGTTCCTTCTTCCCACTTGCATGGATTAGCAAGCGCCAAACATCCACTTCTAGATCGACCACGGAAAGCGAGGTTGTTAGTTTAGCCCATTCGCTTTATCAAGAAGGCTTGCCTGCCTTACAGTTATGGGAGCTGTTGCTTGCACGCCCCGTAACCCTTAAGGTCCACGAAGATAACCAAGCAACAATCCTAGTTGTGAAGAAAGGATATAGTCCCAAGCTTCGCCACATAACTAGAACACACAAAGTTAATTTGTCTTGCCTGTCTGAAGTCTTCAGAGATGACTCTGCCGAGATAGAGTACACCCACACCGATGATCAGGCGGCAGACATATTTACCAAGGCACTGCCTCCACACAAATGGGCAGCAGCACTAATCCTTTTAGGAATACGTACTGATCTTCCCTTAGACCTTAAGTCCAACGCATAGGTCGCTGCGGACGCCCGTTCGCGCGACAGTAGCTGCGTAGGATACTGCCAATGCGCAGTACGTGTGGAACAGGCGAGGGGGGAGTTGAAATATATCGACCCCTGAGCCCCACTATGTATAGCATAGGTAGTAGGTCTAGTATAGGCATGCCATAGCTATGATTCCATCACATCCGAAGTAGTTACTCCGAATACCTTGTGTACAGTAGTAGCAGTAGCACCTCATATCTAGAAGCGTTAGATATGTAGATAGCCTAGAGTTTATCTCAGGGTCGTAGTTAACCTTCCCAACAACAACCGGGTAGGTCCTTTAACTCCCGCTGTTTGACGCTCATGGCTCAAGTGCGCAAAAGCTGCGTGCTTGGTTTCATGTTTTGTTGCAGGGTTTGCCGGATTAGTTTCCCCCTTTTCTTTTGGGTGGCTGGTTCGACCCCCTGTTTAACTATATATATATGTATGATCCATGGGAATTTTCATGGAAATGTGCTGTTTCTATGGAGTATGAATTGGAATATCAAGAACTCAATATTTGATATATGAATATCAATCCCAAATGGGGTACCAATTTTCGATGGTTATTGGAATATCAATGCTATATGAATATCAATGTGATTTTTGATATAGCAGCCACCAAAATTGAAAAACTGGAAATGATATGGAAAACGGTTTAAACATGCTTTATAAATCTTTATAACGTTCTGTCGCTATAAACATGCATTTGCTACGGGGAAAAGTGCAAGTGCTGCGCTTGTCACTGAATCTCAAACCTCAGGGCATGCGCTCGATGTTCAGCATGAGGCGAAAAAAATGGGCCATAGAATCCAGTTGGTCAGTTGGTGGGTTGAACGCAAGTACTCAAAGTACTCAAATACATTTATGAGCTGGTAATGACACATCTTTAAATCTTTTATATGATGCCTATTTTGAACATGTTTCCAAATATTTATGGTAAATTGCCCGAAACTCTAATGGCTAAATGGTATGGTGAGTAGCATGAGCCAGGACAGCAGAAGTCTCGCCTGGCAATTGGAAAAATGATCCTCCATAGAACATCCATTGATGATTTTTCCATGAAAAATTCGAGGTTCCCAGCTAGTTTTTTTGATAAATTCACTAAATGACCAGCATGTGGCATGTGGGTGTGTCTGAAAATAGTGTACCCCTAAACCCAATGGTTAATGATCATTATCCCTATTAAATGGCTATTTCATTGGGAATATACCCAACATTTTCAGACAAACCCATGTGTTTCATAAAAGTCCCATTTTGTAGGGAATACTGGATACTCCATTCGTATCTCTGGCGATCTGAGGAGCGTTCATGCACAGCCTCTTCAAGGTGACTGCCGAGGAAATGAAGCCACTTGGACGTCGTCCTGGGGAGCTTGAAAGGCCATGACATGTAGAATTACCATGTGATACCCGGATTTTTTCTCGCAAAATAGCGCATGTAGAATGTATAGTTGATGATAATTATCTAGATGGTGATTGTCCAGAAGGATATTTGAAGTAATCACCATCTATATAGATACTATAATTATCATCAACAGAGTATACATTACCCACAAATATCGTAGATGATACCCCTACCAAGTAGAGTACCATCTGATTATTTAACATCGCCATGGAAAATCACCATGCTATTAATAGGTAAACCATCTATTTCTATGGGCCATCTATACCATGGCTATGTTAGTCATAACCAGAGGGCAAATTCCTAGAGAGTACCATTTTGCTACGCCATGTGGTCGGAGTATAACCGGATCTCTCCCATTTCTCCGACGCATCCCTATTTTCCCAGCATCGTTGATTCAAACCCAAGAAAGCGAACTGGAAAATGGCCATAGAAATAGTGGATTTACCCATGAAAATAGCATGGTAGATCTTTCCATGGTTTTTTTTGTAAACGTTTGCCAGAGGGTATGTCTTGTTATTTTGGCCTCGAAAATTGCATCAACAGGTGGGAAACCCAATGCCATAAATTTTAATCAGTTGTGGACGGATTGCCGAAAACGCAGCCATACAAATGGTGATTTTGGGGATGGTATCTTGGTGGGTTTCTCAGATGATCTAACTCTTCTTGGTCTTGACATGTCTTAAGATTCACTTTATCATATCTTAATCCTTTCTTTGGAGAGTGTTTAACCATCCCATTTTGTGGATATCCTACCACAAATATCAACATGACACACCCCCAAAAATGGTTATATACCCTCTGGTTGTTTAACATAGCCATGGAAAATGGCCCATAGAAATACTCTCTGGTAAACTAACATAACTATTGAAAATTGCCATTTGTAGCTGATTTACGCATAAAAGAATGTGATTTTCAGTAGCTATGTTAAATTACCAGAGGGTAGATGGTTTACCTATTAAAAATGGTGATTTTCCATGGCTATGTTACATAAATAACCAGATGGTTTTTGAAGATGATTTCCAGAGTTTATCGCGAGACTGTCCCATCCGCGATCATAGCCCTTGGTATGTCAAAGTTTGCTGCATAATTTACCCACATTAATGGGATAAACATGGGATAATATGGTTTTATCATCTGTTTTTCAACGTTTGCTGCATACCCTCTGGTAAACGTTTACATAACTATGGAAAGATCCACCATGCTATTAATGGGCAAATCAACTATTTCTATGGCCTTTTTCCATAGTTATGTTAGTTTACCAGAGGGTAATTCCCCATCAATCCCAATAAAACCAAGAAACACAATAAATCCATCATGAGCTTCACAATCACAAGTTCCAAACAAAACCAAGTCCCAATCCCAATAAAGCCCCGTGCCGTCTAAATTATTTCATCATATTTATATATAGAGCCCTTTTTTTGAATCCCAAGAAATTCCAATCAATCCCAATAAAGATGATATTCCATACATATTCCATACATATTGCAGAACGATGCCGATATGCCAATACCCTCTGGTGAACTAACATAGCTATTGAAAATGGTGATTGATAATGGATTTACCCATTAAATATAGTGATTTTCCATAGCTATGTTAGTTTACCAGAGGGTACTTCAACCGTTTCATCCGTCCTTTTTTCCTCCCGTCCCAACGGTCCCGGTCCCGTCCCGGTACGGTGCGTCACCGTTGCTCAGGGCTTGTCGTGAAGAGTTGGGACATCTGCCGGAACACATGACGCCCTGTCAGCGAGTTGCCTGGTGGAGAGATTCGACATTCGGGAGATTTGTTCGGAACAAACGTTGGTTACCCTCTGGTTATGTCAAAATAACTATGGAAATTCACCATTTTTAATGGGAAAATCCACTATTTCTATGGCAATTTTCAATAGCTATGTTAAATTACCAGAGGGTAAGATGGGCTCATAAATGTTAATAAAATATGGTTTATAATTGACGGTTAATTACATGGTTAAGAAAATTGATGGTTTATTTCATGGGTTTTCATAATTGACAATGGTTCATCATGGTGAATATTGGTTAATGATTGTTCATACATCTTAAGACTATATTTTAGATATAGTTATGATGTGGTTAATTAGATGTTGATAATGGGATAGCTGCAAGGGTGTCAACACGTGCCCGGGAAATCCTCGAAAGCCGCTGGAGACGACGCTCCTTGGGCTCTGGAGATTGGATGGCGCGGCTTAGCGAAGGTTTGCTGAACGCAGATGCTGCAGCTTCTTTTTAAAGGTTGGAGCTCCCCAAACACAAAGGGTTGGGAAGCTGGAATTCTCCGATTCCTTGGTGCAAGGATCAGCCGATCACAACCAGCTGACGCTAAGCCTTTTTGGAGTCTGAAGCCGTGGTGAAGGGTCATCCCCCCAATGTTAAACACCCCAATAGGGTCCCAAATATGTGATTTCGTCCCCTACTAAGTCATGGTTTCTGAAGGGTGTTCCCATTGTCAATATCAACTATTGACCTAACTCATGTTTTTTATTTGCTAAATCCCACTGATTGGATTGGCTACGCTGTTTTGGAGTTGCCTCACAGAAGTGGTCACATCCCAATACATCCCATATGAGATGTCGCCATCAAATGGTTGATCAACCCCCCCTTCTAGATATCATTAATATTAGCATTCATCAATATCCATTAGTCTAATGGTGGATATAGTTTTATCATGTTTTATCCGATTCCATCCAGTTTCCATCCCCCATTTACAGCTGATTCTCCCATCTCCACGACTCCACATGTCATGACTTAAGTCATGGAAAAACACCGCCACCACCATCAGATCTTCCAATCTCCTCATTTTCAAAAATCGAATTCCATCCAATCAATGGGAATTCCAGGATCCTAAAATGGAGATACGTTAGTACCATGTTTTTGGCCATATTTTCTGGGGAAATTCCCATTGATTCAACATCCAAAAAAGTCGGAAAAACCCACGGGTGGATCGGTGGATCTGAGGCGTTAAATGACACCATCCAAGCGCAGTGGGCCCAAGTCATGGCGCAGGACGATGGGGACAATTTGGATGGGGAAATCCATGGGAAAATCGTTGGGAAAATCGATGCTTAAGTGGAAGATACTGGAAGATACTGGAACTTTATCGCTGGATCATGCTGGATCATGAAGTAAATGGATGGAAAGAGGGGTGATTTTCCAGCGCACCAATGGTTGATTGGAAGGTAACCCAATGTAACCCGTAGGGTGAACATCGATATTTTTTGGACCCGTGGTGAAGCTGCAATTCGAAAATAGTCTCCTGGTGGATGTTCCATATCGTTTTGTAACATGTTGGAGGGCAAATCAGTGGTCAGTTGGATTTGGATATTTTCAAGTCCCCCATTCGCTGCATCATCAAGTTCCTTATGAAAATTCGTCCATCGGTGGGTCAATCCGAGTCAATCCCCCTAGATATCATATCAAATTGCTTACGTTCATAAGGTATCCCTTAAAATTCAGAATATCACATCAACTAATATGTTTTTTTCGTTACATAGTTCCCCCATAAGATTTTACCCACACCACATTCCAAGCGTTTGTGGTATGTGTTTCCAACATTTTCCAACCCCCAACCCGACCTTTGGCGCTCGTCTTGCTTTGCAGCAACTGGCGGATACCTGCAGCTCATCCGCGGAAAAGTTGAGTGTGACCATCAAGAAAGCGGAGGAACTGCTGAGGCGCTGGGGGTTGATGGGGTGCCGATGCGGGGTAAAAATCCCATGGTTTTTGTTTTGGATGGGAACATGATTGGTACCCTCTGGTAAACGTTTACAGTTTGCTATGGAAAATCACCATTTTTAGTGGGAAAATCAGCTATAAATGGCAATTTTCAATAGCTATGTTAAATTACCAGAGGGCAAATGGTGGGTAAATGATTGAATGATTGGCCAATCAAACAGGTGGTGTAATCGCTAAGACTCATGAGGGTGCCAGATTTCTGTGGGGTTTGGTATTCACCAAGAAATGGGGATCCCACCCCAGTTGCCCTGCAGCCACCCTAAGCATCCTAACTTGTAAGATGCCCCATTATCCCCAATTAAAGTTGGTTAATCCTAATGGTAAAATAAAATCGAACTATATTCTCAGCATATTACAACTATAGATTAAAAATTCTTATGGATATCATATTTTTCTGGGATTGAATCCTTCACTATGTCATTGGTGAAATCTATGAACATATACCATTAAAATACATGGAAAAATCTCACAAGAACATCATTAAACACCGAATCAGATAGTTCTAACCATCGCCCTTTCCTAATATAACATCTAATTTAAGGGCATTGCCACCTAATTAGATTAATCATGATTAATCACTGATTTAAGCCTGTATGAATCCAGTTAAGGTTCCATTAAACTTTAATTCATCATCTTGAAACCAAGATGATATCTCATTCATGTCGCATTAAATCACCACTAAATCGCCATAGACCCAGCTTTCACCAGTTGTATGTGGGTATCACCACCATCAAACCACCATCAAAACTGTAAAGTCCCATTAATCATCATTCAAAGCACCAAAAAAGCGAGTTAATCCCATTCAATGGCCATAAAACCATAAGAAACCACGATATCAGAACCACAGGACAAGCCTTGAAAGTTCCATCAATCACCACAAAATCACCATTGCGCCACCAGAAAATCCTACTCTGGTTGGTGGTTTGGAACATGTTGTTTTTCCCCAATAGTTGGGATGATGATCCAATCTAACTTTCATATTTTTCGGGGGGTAGATATACCACCAATTAGTACTAAATCCCATTAAATCACCATAGAATCCTACTACAGTAAATCACCAGAAAATCCTACTAATCCTACTAAATCCTACTAAATCCTACTAAATCCTACTAAATCCTACTAAAATAGTGGATTTACCCATTAATAGCATGCTGGATCTTTCCATAGTTCTGTAAACGTTTAGCAGAGGGTAAATCCCATGAAATTGCCATTTATAGTTGATTTTCCCATTAAACACATTCCATTGATTTGCCATATTATCCCATGTTTATCCCATGTTTATCCCATGTTTATCCCATTAATGTGGGTCAATTAGTACTAAATCCCATGAAATCCACCCGAAATTCGCCAATCGCCAAGCCCATCCCAGGCCGTTGGAGTTGGGCGAGGAACGTCTCTTCCAACGCCAGCGCTTGTCTCCGCAGAGCCACTGGCCCTGGATGGCACGGCACGGCGTGGAGCTCCTGGTGCTGGTGCGGAACGGCAACCGGGGGGAGGTCTACGGAAGAATTGGAGGGTTTATCATGTGGTTATAATATGTTATAATATGTTTCAATAATAATAATAACAATAAATGTAGTAGTAATAATATGTAATAATCATAAAAATAATAATGCACAATAATGATATTTAATAGGTTTTTAAAGATAGTAATGCACCAATGAATGAATATTGTTTTAGTAAACAGTATGTTTTTATTTTGTTTCATACTAGTAATACTCGTAAATGTTGATAAAGGTTAAATCCATATGGAAAAATGAAATAGTGAATTAATATGGAATATCATCTTTATTAGTAAGATAATGGGATAGTTTTCTTTTTTCATTTAAGCAGATATACTTTGGATATAAGCTTTATTTGTTATGTCTTTTTGGGGTTTACTATGCTTATACAGTGGGAATGAATCATCTTTGAATGGGCACATAATTCAGAAGCTATAGTGGGATAGCCAACAAATGCCAACACTATAACCAACCAAGGAATTATATGTTGCAAGTTGGGTTTCAGGTTGGTTCATAGTAGTAAAATGGCGGTTTAGGGGCAAACATGAAGGTTTGACATGGTAATATGAAAACATGATTTAAAATGGGATACATGTTGGGTATTTTTGGGATTTTAACCTCCATCAAGTCGTGATTTTTCACTGAGGATTTCTTCATGGAATGGGGATATGGCTGGGAATCTAATCCATGGGAGTAGAATGGGATATACAGGGATATGGTGATTGGAACATTTTTTATTTTCCATAATATATGGGATAATCCTTCGCATTGACTTTCATATTCTTCAAGATGGTTATTGCACCACCAACCAGATTATCATTAATTACTTAGTGAATCACCATTTTTGGAAAATCGGAATAATTAGTGCCTGAATATTAGGTAACATTATCAATCATCAAGTCATCTTTAGTTGGTGATTATTGGTAACATTATTTGGAAGATTATTCATCAAGATTAGGTAACATTATCAATCAATATTAGGTAACATAGTCTCATAGTCATCTTTAATCATCATTAATCATCATTAATCATCGTGAATCATCATGGAATCACCATTATTGTGATCATTATTAACCAGTATTAACCAGTATTAACCAGCTTCCGGTCCATCTCCCCGCAACCTGAATCAGCGGTCTTTCCAGTCCCTGGTGGCAATGTTCACCTCGATGTCGCTGCTGGCGATGATCCTCCGAAGTCGACTGAGGACGACGACGCGTGTGGCTCGGTGGGAGGATTGAATGGATGGGGAAAAAGTGGGGAAAGCTAAGGTGAAATCTATGGTTAATGATAGTTATATAGTAGTGAAAATAGTTATATCGTTATGAATAATATGGTGAACATATCATTAACAAATATGGTTAATATGATGGTTAATATGATGATTAATATCATGAATAAATATGGTTAACATGAACATATTTTGGGAATATGGTTAATATGATGGTTAAAGCAAAGGTCGTTTTATTATGGTGAAGATATCATTAACTATGGGAAAATATGGAGAAATCTATGGTTAATGGTGGTTAGTAGTGAAACACTATTATGTGTTTTTCCCAAATGGAAGTTTCCAAACATAGGGATACCCAAAGTCACCATTGGTTTCCTAAAATGACTTGGATGATTTGGGGTAGCCCTAGTTCGGGAAACCCTCAAATGCAAAATGGAGAATGTGGTTGTAATCTCTTGTAATATGGACCATGGTGATATTTTTAAACCTAACAAAATGGATGGGACTTTCCCGAAGAAAAGCCTGCAATGAATCAAATGGTAAATATATGTGGGATCATGTAAAACAGGGTTTACCTGGATGGACATGGAATATAGTCTAGTCCATAAAGTTTATTTTTTGGATTTCACAGTAGAGCTTGGTTTGCCGAACCTTCGTGCTTTGGTTTCTGTCCTCGTATGAAAAGGCTGGTGATAGCGAGGCTGTGCTGAAAGCGCATTACTTGGGGATGTTTTAGGACGTCTCAGACAACACGATGGACCAGGGCCAGTGTGGATATCGTTAAAGAAAAGTGGTACTGTACAGAACCAGCAGAACAAACACAATAAACAATCAGCAGAAGCATCACAAAGATCATCAACCAGCATCAAATCCCCATTCACCATCATAAAATCACCATATTTTTCTCCGCTAAGCATCATTAAGCCATGGAACTATCCATTAAAGATCCCCTTTTCTTAAAGCCATGTTTTAACCATGAGTTCACCTGAGTTCACGACGAGGCTCTGACGGATGAGGAGATGTTGCTGCAGTGAGGTGGGAATCTCTGGGAAATGATGGGAATATATGGTATATCACTGATATATTACTGGCTGGTGGTTTGGAACATGAATTTGATTTTCCCCAATAGTTGGGATGATGATCCAATCTGACGAACTCATATTTTTCAGGGGGGTGGTATACCACCAACCAGTATATTATGTATATTTATCTATATATATAATATGACTATATATGACCATTATTGACATAATTTATAAATCTACCATGTTGTAGTATATATTATATACCATACATGTATGGATTTTTGGAGAACATCATATATATATACAATGTATGGTATTTAATGGGATATTATATATATATATCAGCTTTAAATATAACGAGAACATCATCTACAAATCAGAGATCATCTATATATAACCATCTATATAATCTATGAATACATGTATCATCAACTTTTTGTAAATGATTATGTCACCTGTGAATATCCATATAAAACCATCAACTAGTACGGTGATAATATGATAATCTATATATATATAGTTGATGGGAGGTACATATTTGCAAGTGTCAAGTAGAGAAAACCGTTGTATCTCAGAAAATAACATGAAATAAAAATCATTGATTTTTGTGAGAAACATCTGGAAATGGGGCGATATACTGAGATATGGTGGGGTCAATGCTGGCTAATCATATATGGATATTGTGTATTTTTTACATGTCTACCAGTACTGATGGAGATGTTCTTTTGGTTTTCAGGTTTGGAATGAAGTGCTGGGGGCAGTGTCATCGTATCAGCCAATGATATTAGCTGATTAAATATTGCGCTTAAATATATATATATACACATCATATATATATATGTATCATATATATATACACATATATATATACATATATATATATCATATGTATATATATATATATCATATGTATATATATATATATATATATCATATCATATATATATCATATATATATACATATCATATTTATATATACATATCATATATATACATATCATATATATATATCATATCATATATATATATCATATATATATATTGCGAATGGGATGTAGACTACAGCACTATACATACTCCCATGTAGATGTTCCCTTAATCATCCATGACCAAAGGGATGCATAAACTGCCCCTTTGGCTCAAGACAACTGCCAGCTCCGTGATAAAAGAAAGCCATGCCGAAACTGCAACTCCCTTGTCGTCGTCAGTGAGAGAGCAACTACATTCTCGAACAGTCAATAGCATATATCGGGGAGATAACCTCCGATTCACAGGTTATCAGCCGTAGGACTCCTACGGAGCCTACGAGCGGGTAGCCGCGGGCCTTACAGATGACTGAACAGGATAGCAGTGATAACGCATTTTCTTTCTCTGGACATGCCTTTGCACCAGCTGCCGGCACGCAGTCAAATTCTTCACAGAGTATCGACACTGGTGGAAGCGATGCCTCAGAACTGAGAACGAGCCTACCCAGGCGACCTCTGGTTGCTCCTAGAGGGAGACAAATTTCGACAATGCAAGCAATTGAAGATAGGGACAGCACACCTGGAAAGAGAAGATCATCTGCACGACAATTGTCGCCTCCGATGACTCCAAGGACTAAGGCAAAGACTACGTCGTCGAATCCGCCTTCACCGATTCAGGACGCTACTCCATCAGAGACAGGATCTTATCAGCAAGTGAACGCCCCGTCGAGTGGTAGCGACATCTTCACTGCCTATCAGAGCGAACTAGCTGAATACAAAACATCACTGGAAAAGGCTACTGAAGAAGAATCCGTACTTCAGGCAAGATTGACTGAGACGACAGCATATGCCTATCAACAATTTAATTTCCTGGAAAGCACCACTCATCAAGAGATGATGTCAATGACCGAACAACTTCAGATGCTGAACTTCGAGTTACAGGCTGCACAACAAGAAGATGAAGGTGCGACCTACAGGATCGAAGAGTTGGAGAGATATCAGACTATGTCGAATGAAGCTGCATCTCATTTGGAATTCAAATATTCACGACTACGTTCGGAATTCGATGAACAAATGGGACAAGCGAACGCAATCATGGTACATGTGGGCGCGGATGCGAATGCTCACATCAATCAACTCAGACTGGAACTAGAAAACGCAGAGATGAATGCAAAGCAAGAAGCTCTGGCGGTCGGCTACGCTAATGACCAGACATGTGCTTTACAGATCGAGATGCTCGAGGTTGCCAATCAAAACCAGACAATGAAGCACACCATGGCCATGAACGTTAGACGACTGGAAACTGAGCTCGATGCTGCTGACATGAAGAGGGACGAGATCATGAAGGAGTTCCGTAGTAACATAAGATCTGAACATGACCGTTATGCAGAATGTGAACATCATTTGGCTTTGGAAGAATCACAACTTCGATTGCAGGTGATTCACAATGAGAACTTACAATCTCGGCTAGCGACTTCTGAGAGCAAGGTTTCTGAAGAATCCCTAGCTGAATCAAGTGGCATGCGGGACATGAGGATAATGGGACTACGTTCGGAACTACACATGAAACAAAGTCTTTTAGATCGAATGCAACAACAACTGACTGAATCGAAGAATCAATATCATGAACTTTCCTGTCAACAAGCCAGAAGATCCTCACCAAGCAGATCACCGCATGGAGGACCATTATACGAGATGTATATGCAAGCCGTGCGTGAGCGTGATAGCTTGAAGGAATCCAAGGCTGAAGTTGACAAGTTGTACCTGCAAAACAGAACTGAACTCATTGACACTGAGAACCTGCTCAAAACCTTCCAGCAACATTTCGATGAAACTGGTAAGAAGTATCAAGATGCTCTGAACAAGATCGATCGCATGAGTAGCAATCCGAATGTGACGAGTAACTTGTTCGACAGTTTGCACAATGAAATCAATGACAGGGATACAGCCATTGCTCGCCTTCATACTGAACTTGAAGCCCAAAAGGATTCTCTTGAGCGTGCTCACAGGGATGCAGGTAAGTCCATCAAGATGTTGAACGACAGAAGACTCGTGATCAAAGGTGCGACTGACTATTCCATTCCTGAAAGCCACTTGACCGAGATGCATCAATTGGCTAGTGAGCGTTTCGCTGAGGTAGAAGAAATGTCGAGCACCATTGCTGCCCTGAAGTTGGAAAACCAGGCTTATTCTTCTTCATCATTGAATAGACCGACTACATTGCATGGGTACCCCAGTAGTGCTATGCCTCGGAATGAGTGTGAAGAGAAGTGTGCCAAACTGAAAGCAGAGTTGGACGAGATGAAGCAAGAGAGGAACGCTGAAGTTCGAAATCTTCAAGATGAATTAAAGAAGATGGAAGATCGGAAAGACTATTACAAGAACAATTTCTCTCAAGCTGAAGATCGCGCCAACGATGAAGAGCAGGAATACCGAGCAGAAGCTGAAGCCTTCGAGAAGCTCAGGAACGAGTACAACACCAATGTCAAGGAGTTGGAGAACCTTGAGAGGGATAGATCTAAGTCATCCGTATCTCTAAGAGAAGCCGAAAAGATCAGCCTCCAACCCTGGCCTAAGACCACTGAACTTTCATCCTGGAAGGGAAGTGTCGTTCATGAAGTTTGTGTTGCAAGTGGAGATCGAAACTATGAAGATTGGAAAGCGTGGCTAGCTCCGTGTCTTGCAGATCAACCTGACTTAGAGGCTCTGGCCAAAGCACCCGACGTGAGATTCCAATCCATTGATGCCAAGCTCTCCAATGCCTTGAGGAAAGTCATTGACAATGCTGGGGACAAGTCCATGCAAGTGAAATATGACATGTCCATGAAGAACCAAATGTATGGGAGGAGTGGGGACTTCATCAAAGGGCGAGAACTATTCGCAATGGTCTTGATTAGCTTCAAGTCGCCTGACCACACTGAGGTTCTCTACAACGCCCATCATTTATACATGTTCAATTACTATGGAGATGACCAACTTGAGGCCTTCTACAACAAGTGGCTTGACATCATATACAACATGAAACATGATGATCTGCCTTCCGCAAATTCCCTGCGTGATACATTGTTCCGGAAGATTGAACACTCAAAGCTTATGTCTTTTGATATCAGCCGATATCGTACCTATGATGAAGGGCATCCCGAAAAGACTTATGAATTCCTGACCGGTATGATCAAAGGATACATAGCACGGGGAAAACAAGAACGACTGTTGAAAGATAGAGAACGTGCAGTGAAACTGTCATTGTCCTCTAACAAGACGACACCTGCCCTGGAAGATGCTGATAAACCCGCTGTTCCCATCAAGACCAAGAAGGAGAATGAATCAGCTGCATCGTCTACAGGTGATCCTCCCAAACGACCTAAAGCGAAGGCGAAGAGTGAAGCTGCATCAGTACTTCCGACACCTTCTCCGAAATCTCATGCCGACAAGAACAACAAGAAAGGCAAAGGTGGGAAGGGAAGATCATCTTCACCCGTTGATAAGAAGAAGATTTTCTGCAACTACTTCTTCAATAAAGGAGGATGCAACAAAGGTGACAAATGTCTTTACAGTCATTCTCAGAAGGTCTATGATGCCAAGATGAAAGGTAAGAAAGGCAGAAGTGGAAGTCGAGATTCATCAAGGGGAAAGAGTAAAGGAAGTTCATCTTCAGCTGGACCCAAAAAGAAGGTATGTTGGAATTGGCAGAAGGGTACCTGCACGTTTGGGAGCAAATGTAAATTCCTACATGCGGACCAATCACCTTCAGCATCATCGGAGAGGACCAGCAAGAAGACACCAAAGAAGAAAGCAACTCCCATTACCATTGACTCCTTCTTTGATAGCGACAATGAAGACTCTTTGGATTATACCTCACCGAGGATAGCCAGCGCAAAGAAGTCTTCTGATGTTCGCAGAATCTCATTTGATCTGGAACCTGAAGTGCACGAGATTGCAATAGAGAACTACCAGGAGGGACTACCCAAGCGTATGTATCGTGACCCCAACAAGCAGTATGTCTTCTGGAAAGTCGATGATTTGACCGACGATCAGTCCAAGTCCGAC